CCTTGAAGAAAAGCACCGTTTCCCTCTGTGCCTCTTTCTCCTCCGCTGTAAACTAAGGTCCTAATATCATCTACCTCTAGGGCAGGGGTCAGCATATTTTTTCTGCAAAAACCCGGATTAGTAAGTAATTTCAGCTTTGCAGTCCACGCGGTGGCTGTTGCACCCACTCCGCCCTGGTAGCTCAGAAGCAGCCACAGATGCTGTGCAAACAAATGAGCATAGCCGTGTTCCAATAAAACTTTATTTACAAAAACAAGCAATGAGATATAGTTTGCCAACCCGTGTCATTGAATTTGGATAGATGACATGAAGCAATTCATAACAAGGACCTAACCGAAAATAAGTGCGGGAACATTGCTGGCTGTTGATGTGGTTATTATGCAGAGAACAGTGCATGCAAATTCCCCCCTCTGGGGACCTCCTGCCTGATTCCCAGGCACACCCAGGTGGTTAGAATATCTCTTTGGACTCCAAGTAGGCTGGAGGTGCACCGCTTTGCCATTGTTAATACATTTCTAACGAGCATCGGGTGCTGTCCCAGGTGCTGAGGGGATTCTCCCACAATGCCCTCTGCTTTCTCCATCGGAGGATTTATGGTACTCAGTTCTCATTCTCTTTCATTCTCTCCCTCTCCCTTTCTCTCTCTCTCTCTTTCCCATCCTCTCTCCCTCCCTCCCTCTCCCTAAATTGAGAGTCTCATGAAGGCAAAGGCTATGCCCTGTGTCTACCTTGTTCACTGCTGTTTTCCCCGCAGCGAGCATAAATTCATAAACTCTGGCACACAATGGAACTTGATAAATATTTGGGGTGAATAATAATGCTTACAACGGCTAACACCTAACCATGTGTGGGCCATTTCTCTTGGCACTTTACATGTGTGCATGTCCTGTTGGGGTAGATGGCATTGTTATCATCATGCCCCATTCCACAGATAACGGAATTAAGACACAGAGAGCTGAAGAAACTTGTCCAAGGTCACACAGCTGGTACGAGGCAGGGCCGGGAGCCACACAATGTCAGTCCTGTGATATCGTTGCCAAAAATGTATAACCAGCCTCTAATGATGAAGCAGCATCAGAGAAAACCAAGGGTGGGGCATGCTACAAAATAACTGCTCTGATCTCTTCAAAAGTGGCAAGGTCAAGAAAGTAGGAGAGATTATCAAGGTTAAAGGGACTAACAGGCAGGACAGCTAAATGCCGCACACGACTGGATCCTGCATCAGGGAGGGAAAAAGTTTTGTTTCACTGTAAGGACAACATTAGGTAACTGGAGAAACACAAATGAGTTCTGCAAATCAGATAATGGCGCTGTAGAACCGTGGTAGGCACGGGAATGATACTGTTTGAGGGAAACACATTGAACCTATTTGGGGTAAAGGGTCTGCAACTGACTTTTTTTTTTTTTTTTTT